AAAATTTTGTAAAATTTGGGGGTTTCAATTTTAAAATACAAGTCCTACCAAAATCCACATAACTATAAAAAAAAAAGTTTTGTAGAAGGTCTAAATAATTCAGGAATATCATTAGTATAATTATATAAATCACGATTAGTTATAGCAAGAGAAACAAATTTAGAATCAAAAATTTGAGTGCTTTTAAATAAAGAACGACAAAGATGATTTATAAGATAAATATCAAATTTTTTTAAAGCAGTTTTAAAAGCATCTTGAATTACAGGAGAAAATATACAATTTGAGTTTGATATTTGTTAAGACAAGTATTAATTTCTTTACTAAATTGTAAATTTGTAATTCCAGATTTAATAAAAATTTCTAAATGATGAATATGTTGCTCAATAAAAGAAAAAATTGGTTGATATTTAGATTGAAAATAATTAAGAGTTGAAATAAAAAATAGTACATAAATTTTAATAAAGGTAAGATAAACTTCTAAACATACATTTTCATCAAAATCATTAAAAAATAAAATGATTTCATTAATATTTCTATTCGTTTCAATTTTATTTTCTTCTTTACAAAAACCTCATATATACTCTAAATAATTGCAAACATAAATTGCAGTTTTGAGCCAAGAATTCCAATGTGTACTAATAGATAATAGCATAAATTGTAAAGTAATTTGTTGATTTTGAGTTGAATCCAACTTAATTGATTATATTCTTTTACACCATGTCATTTTAGATAAATCATATATTTATTATAACAGTGTTTAGAATGTAAAAAATTTTTTTAAGATTTGATATCAACTTTTTTATATTATTAAAGTCTTCATTTAATAATCATGCTTCACTAAATATATATTAATATATAATATAATTATTAGATTTAATATATATCAATATATGTATATGTATTAAAAAAAATAAATTTAATTTTACCTAATCAAGTTTAGAATATGTGCAAAGCAGGTGTTATGTTTGATTTGAGGCATTACTGGATTGAGAATTTCACAACAGGCTTTTTTCATATATGCAGCTGAGTTAGAATTAATCAAACAAGGTGCTGAAAATAGAATTGACCATTCTGTAAGAAGCTGAAAAACAAGACCACTAATTGTAGAATTATTAATAGGTTTAATATAATCAACAGAAATTAATCTTGTAACTTAGTAATAGGAAAATAAAGTATTAACTACACTACGTCCTTGAGAGTCAGTAGTTTCATCAATAATAATTGATATACATTTAGATTCAAAGAAATTTTTTAACATTATTGCATGGGAATTAAATACTTCTTTAAGATGATGTCATTTTAAAGTATCAGCACAAGGAATCATACCATCTTCACAGCAATATTTTAAAAAAAATCACACATCTTATCAATTTTTTCTAATAGGATGTCAGCTGTAACCCATGCTTCTAATAGATCAGTAATTATAAGTTTTTTGATTTCAATATTCTTCATCACACTAACAACAGTTTGTTGTTTGTCTGTTTGAGGTATCGTTCACACTTGGTTTTATAAGATTCTGATGCAAGATGAGAGGTAATAGAAGTTAAATTTTCAAAACTAATACTTTTACTACAATAAAGATATATAAGAAGTCCATTATCAGCAAAAACATTAGGTCCAAATTCAGCAGCATGAGAAATGGCAATAATTTTTGAAGGTGGCATATTGAGTTTGTACTTTATGTTTGATAAACTTTAGAAATAAAAAGAAAATGAAATCTTTTTAAAAAAATTTTTTAAGATATTACTAATCCGAATTTTATTAATTGCTTCTTTATATGTATATTTATATTTATTCACAAAATTTTTATCAACTTAAAATTTTAGAATATTATAGCATTTTGGAATTTTGAACTTAACTATGGGAAGTATTTTCATTTTATTTTTCTTTTCTTGTATATTACATTTATTTTTCTTTGCTTGTAAATTTGAAAAATCTGAATTTGTTTTTAAATATACTTTACCACTTTTTAGTAATTTTATTACCTTCTTGTTTATGCATGACTATAATTTCATTACTATACTTTTTAGGTTAGTGAATTCGATTTAATTTGATACAATATTATGTCTACGTATTTCTCAATCATGACAAGAACACAATTTGTAATTTGGTTTATTGTAATTCTAACCAAATAACAACAAGTTATAT